TTTATTTTTTTTTGGAAAGAGAGCTCTGTGCTTTGTCGTCAATTTGCGCTATAGTTTGTGATAGGGAACTCCGTATTGACGAAGTTACACAATATTCCAATTTGGTCTTGACTACTATGTTCCACCGTAATACAACGAAAGAGAAAAAAAGAAACAGGGAAAACAAAGAGAGAGAGAGAGAGGCAACGGAAACAAAGGCAAGATAGATCGGAGTTTCACTCGAAAACGCTCCATTCTACTACCGGAACAACAAAGCAGGCAATTACTAAGAACAACGTGGCACCAAACAGGCGATGAGGGTGGATAAGAAGAAGAACAAGGTGGTACACAATATTGTGTTGTTGGTTGTTGGTGTTGTCGTCTTGATGTAATACCGTCTCGTTCTCTCTGCCCAGCACCTTCTTCTGTCCGCTGAACTTTAGTTGGGCTAACACTCGATGAACGGGGTCGATTCTCCCGTGGTCAGTCTTAATGACCGAAAAAAAGCTATGTGTGAAGAAAACCAATTAAAGGTCCGCAAGCCAATAGAAAAAGAAGTCAAGGATAGATTCGAGAGTGAAGGCCACTACGCTCAACTGTAGACGCTATGGACATGCCGAAAGAAGATGAGAAAACTGCCGCAAGTATTATTTAACACGAGCCAACCGAGTTTGCACGGCATGGTAAAATCGTCAACAAAACGGGGAAAAATCACACTACGACTAGTAGTCTAGATTAGTCTAAACACTACCACCACTGTACCAGTACGTACGTACGTGCAGTGGGAACCGAAAACCATTCCGCTCGACTGCAGACGGACATACATTGCGAGCGACGATCCGAAGCGAAAAGAAAGATGATGGCACGCGAATAGGAAATCAACGACTACGGGCGCAGAGACCGATAAGAGACGGGAGGAGCGCGAGCAACGGACTGTCCTTCTCAATCAACATGAAAGGGCACCATACGAAAAGAACAAAGTCTGGCATGCCATGCAAGAATCGAAGGTTCGATATTCGCCAGCACCACTCGCAAGGTGGTAGACACAGCAGGGTGTCACTACGCTGAAGAAGTTTTAATGATAGTTTGTTTTTTAAGAGAAGTGGTCCGATAGGGACGTTTTTTGTTAAAAAAAGAGCTGTTTAGAGGGGGGGGCAAAACGGGCCAAGTAAGTCTGTCTGTCTGTCTGTCTGTCTGTGACCAGCCTCGATACATTATACCCAGCAGATTCCAGCCCATTTCACCATCTTGGCACCAAACTGCAATCAATCTAAGGCGTGTTCACAACAAGCAATATTTCGCCCGGAGCTGCCCCAACTGCTACCTTTTCAATCCGTGCTCGGTGCGTCGAGA